ATAATAAACCAACTACCCACAGTATACTAGCAAATTCAAATTACAAATACAGTACAAAAGGAAAAACATCACTTGTTAATATTGAGCAAAGATTATACCAAAGATTGATTATACTTAAGATTACTCGAGACATTGTAGTCAAGAGTAGCAGTGCGAAGTCTAGGATCTGTTTATGACGAATACATTAAGGTATCTGCAATCCTAAAATGCTATGGGAAGGGAAGGAAACAGGTCCGTGACGTAGGAAGTAGTGAAGGAAGTAGTAAAGGCAATCATAAAATGCTATGGGAATAGTGGGAAACAGGTCTGTGACGTAGGAAGTGATGAAGGAAGTAGTAAATGCGAGCAGTCCGGAGTGTGGGGACTGTTTATGACGATAAGATTAGGGTATCTGCAATCCTAAAATGCTATGGGAAGGGAGGGAAACAGGTCCGTGACGTAGGAAGTGGTGAAGGAAGTAGTCAAGGCAAGCTGTCCGGAGTGTGGGAACTGTTTATGACGATTAGATAAGGGTATGGGCTATCCTAAAATGCTATGGGAAGGGAGGGAAACAGGTCCGCGACGTAGGAAGTGGTGACGGAAGTAGTCAAGGCGAGTTGTCCGGAGTGTGGGAACTGTTTATGACGATTAGATTAAGGTACAGTGGAACCTCTTTAATCCGAACCCCCGTAATCCGAACGTCCACTAATCCGAACCCCTCATTGCTGTACTCTATACAAAGGACAGCAGTTCTTAACTGTATACTGTATTTAATTTACAGTACTGTTTATTCACAATGTTTACTACTGTATTAAAATAAACACTGTATTTTACTTTATAAAACATATTTTCACTTTTCCCAAAATAATGTTGATCAATTTTAGCCATGTTTTAGCTATTGTTATGTAAAAACAACAATATGTTCTGTAATCCGAACTATTCAATATTCCGAACTACCCCTGGTCCCAATTAGTTCGGATTAAAGAGGTTCTACTGTATCTGCAATCTTTAAATGCAATGGGAAGGGAGGGAAACAGGTCCGCGACGTAGGATGTGGTGAAGGAAGTAGTAAAGGCGATTAGTATGGAGTGTGGGAACTGTTTATGACGATTAGATTAACGTATCTGCAATTCTGAAATGCTATGGGAAGGGAGAAAAACAGGTCCGCTACGTTGGAAGTGGTGAAGGAAGTAGTCAAGGCGAGCTGTCCGGAGTTTGGGAACTGTTAATAACGATTAGATTAAGGTATCTACAATCTTAAAGTGCTATGGGAATGGAGGGAAACAGGTTCATGACGTAGGAAATGGTGTAGGACGTTGTAAAGGCGAGCCGTGTGGAGTTTGGGAACAGATTTATGTATCTCCGATACTAAGACTGCTTTCAGAGTGAACTAATGATTTTCTCCGAGCAAAGCTCGGTCCCCAGGTACTTGGTGGTTAAAGTGAGGTCCGTAAAGTGTGTGTTTCTAAAGTAATGTTTTTAATCTGTACTATTTAAGTATTGGTGAGTTAAGTGATATATGGGTTTCATAACCAAAAATTATTATTTCAAACTGTCAATTATAAATTATTCAAATTTAATTTATAATTCACAGTTTAAAATAGTATTTAATATTCGTTATTTTGAACTGTTCGTTATAGACTCAATATTTTACATTAGTTGAAAAATGAATAACTTTACTCTTCACTACATGGTTGGTGATAGAAAATGTTTCTTTAGAAGTGTCTCATTTTTATGCCATAAATCTCAATCCAGATACAGTGATATACGATCCACAGTAGTTGATGAAGTCGTCAACTGGGACTACTATTGTTCTTTTATTTTAGGGGATAAGACATATAGACAAGAAGTAAAAAACGTGACGGAATACAGAAATTTGATGACCAAAGATGGGGAATACGCCGGTAATGTCGAAATCGAAGCTGCAGCAAGAGTTTTTGACTGCCAATTCAAAATATATGCTGAGAAATTGGATTATTTTGTAACGGTTGGTGAAGGCACAACGATCTTAGAACATCAGTTTATTTTCTAAACAATTTAATTCTTTAAAAAATGTTCAGGTACTTACAAGGACATATATTATGTACTACTGTACTTTCTAGGGACCGTTGTATTTAACTACAACGGGCTCTGTTGCTAGTTGATTTATAATCTTGTTCCTTATTGCCTTCTTGGTACTAAGTTAGAAGCAGCTGTCATGTGTTAATTATATGCCATGTGTTTGCTATCCTATACTCTAATACGAGCAATGTTTGCTTGTATGCTTGCTTGCTTGCTTGCTTGCTTGCAGAAAGATCTCGAAAACGGCTCCGACGATTTTCTTCAAATCTTGTAAATAGTTTATTTTTGGCCTAAAAACGAGTTTCATGCAGTTAGAACTGCCAACAAAAATCTAATTACGTAGAAAAATGAAACTGAAAATCACATTTTTTTAACATTAGTCTTATGGGTTGCTAGGTAACCATGTTGGATGAATTAAATAACAAGGATAAAGTAAACAAAAGACTTGAAGTTGTAGCATGTGTTCATAGTAAGCCAACTACCCACAGTATACTAGCAAATTACAAATACAGTACAAAAGGAAAACATCACTTAATAATTAGCATAATATTTAGCAAAGATTATAGGTACTGAAGATTACTCGATACATTGTAGGGAGTATGTTTTATAGTCTATGGTTTTATCTATGATTGTAGTCAAGGGCAGCAGTGCGAAGTCTGGGATCTGTTTATGACGATTAGATTAGATTAAGGTATCTGCAATCCTAAAATGCTATGGGAAAGGAAGGAAACAGGTCCGCGACATAGGAAGTGGTGAAGGAAGTAATAAAGGCAATCATAAAATGCTATGGGAATAGAGGAAAAAAGGTCCGTGACGTAGGGAGTGATGAAGGAAGTAGTGAAGGCGAGCAGTCCGGAGTGTGGGGAATGTTTATGACGATAAGATTAGGGTATCTGCAATCCTAAAATGCTATGGGAAGGAAGGAAAACAGGTCCGCGACGTAGGAAGTGGTGAAGGAAGTAGTCAAGGCGAGTAGTCCGGATTGTGGGAACTGTTTATGACGATTAGATTAAGGTGTCCGCAATCTTAAAATGCTATGGAAAGGAAGGAAAACAGGTCCGCGACATAGGAAGTGGTGAAGGAAGTAGTCAAGGCGAGCTGTCCGGAGTGTGGGAACTGTTTATGACGATTAGATAAGGGTATGGGCAATCCTAAAATGCTACGGGAAGGGAGGGAAACAGGTCCGCGACGTAGGAAGTGGTGAAGGAAGTAGTCAAGGCGAGCTGTCCGGAATGTGGGAACTGTTTATGACGATTAGATAAGGATATGGGCAATCCTAAAATGCTATGGGAAGGGAGGGAAACAGATCCGCGACGTAGGAAGTGGTGAAGGAAGTAACAAAGGCAATCATAAAATGCTATGGGAATAGAGGGAAACAGGTCTGTGACGTAGGAAGTCATGAAGGAAGTAGTGAAGGCGATCAGTCCGGAGTGTGGGGAATGTTTATGACGATAAGATTAGGGTATCTGCAATCCTAAAATGCTATGGGAAGGAAGGAAAACAGGTCCGCGACGTAGGAAGTGGTGAAGGAAGTAGTCAAGGCAAGTAGTCCGTAGTGTGGGAACTTTTTATGACGATTAGATTAAGGTGTCCGCAATCTTGAAATGCTATGGAAAGGAAGGAAAACAGGTCCGCGACATAGGAAGTGGTGAAGGAAGTAGTCAAGGCGAGCTGTCCTGGGTGTGGGAACTGTTTGTGACGATTAGATAAGGGTATGGGCAATCCTAAAATGTTATGGGAAGGGAGGGAAACAGGTCCGCGACGTAGGAAGTGGTGAAGGAAGTAGTCAAGGCGAGCTGTCCGGAGTGTGAGAACTGTTTATGGCAATTAGATTAAGGTATTTGCAATCCTAAAATGCAATGGGAAGGGAGGGAAACAGGTCCGCGACGTAGGAAGTGGTGAAGGAAGTAGTCAAGGCGAGTAGTCCGGAGTGTGGGAATTGTTTATGATGATTAGATTAAAGTATTTGCAATCCTAAAATGCTATGGAAAGGGAGGGAAACAGGTCCGCGACGTAGGAAGTGGTGAAGGAAGTAGTCAAGGCGAGTAGTCCGGAGTGTGGGAACTGTTTATGACGATTAGATTAAGGTATTTGCAATCTTTAAATGCAATGGGAATGGAGGGAAACAGGTCCATGATGTAGGAAATGGTGGTGAAGGCGAGCCGTGTGGAGTTTGGGAATGGATTTATGCATCTCCAATACTAAGGTGCTTTCAGAGTGAACTAATGATTTTCCCCGAGCAAAGCTCGGTCCCCAGGTACTGTTTATTAATTTGTTGTAAATAAACTTCTCTTCCACTATGGACTTTAGAAACCATACTGTGTAGTCTTTTTACTCCTAATTATTACCTATAAAGGAAAATCAATTATAAACAAGTTCTCTCCCATTAGTACATTGCTAGGTGAGAGCTTATTCTACGAAATTTGACCTTATTTGTGCCAAATTTCATAAAATCATAATAGTGATGGTTTTATATTTACTGATTACCTCGAAATTATTATACTTAGTTGAGCTAATTAATTAGAGAAGTTGATTTGTGAAATTATCCACGAACGTTAACTTTAATGAAAAAAAAAAACAATCAAAAGTCTGCCGCCAAGTTGCCAAACTTCTTGGCGGAAAAAGTAATGATTTATTATCATTTTTGGATTGCTGACTTGGCGGGGAAAGTGTTACCACTTAGTGGTTTTTTGTTAGATAAATATTTAGTCTGAAAAGCACATTTATCAGTTGAGTATTTTGATTAAATAGTTCATAAAAACAAATTTTGAAAAAAAGAACTAGAAAAAATTGGTTTACCCAGATGGGTCTCGAACCAGATACTTTCAACTTAAGACTTGGAATGCACAACACTAATTTCTCAACCATCCCTCTGCAAAATAATACCTGAAACATACAAGGTGATTTATTAAAGCATTTCATTAAGGTAAGAAAATACAAACTTTTATTTCTTTGAGTAACTTTTATTTCTTTCTATGAAGTAGTATGACCGCTGTATTGTGGTACTGGATCCACAGTGCCGGTAATCCTACAAAATCTGTTTAACGATTCCATGTCTGCCTCAAACAGAACATCTGAAATTAATTTTTGAGCAAATTTCAGTTGATGAGGTTTGAGGTTGCGCAGTCTGTCGGCTACATGTTTGCCGAAAATGTCATGTGGGTCACTTTCTTTCACTGAATTAAGTTTATCTCCAACCCTTTTCATTGTTTCTAGCATCGCAGTCTCAACCACATGTAGTTTCCTTTTATTAGGTCGACTCAACGATGTGCTTGGTATTGATGGAGTCACACACTGTGTGGTACCTGTTAGATGGGTTTCAGACCTCTCACTAACATTCAGACTCGCCTGATCTTCAAGTTCATCGTTCTGCGAAAACAAACAAAAACACTGTAACCAATATGTACACAAATCATCATAGGAATGAACCCAATAAGGTTATTATTTCTTATCTTTATGAACACGTCAGTATATATATGCCGATGATACGGCGGTGGCGGCACAAGGTAGGAGTTTTGAAGAGGTGGAACAGAAGCTGACTATGACTCTTAATGAACTTTCCCAGTACTATGAAGCAAATCACCTCAAGCCGAAAACTGCTAAGACCCAAAAGTTTGTGCCTTTCACCTAAACAATAGGGAAGCAGGCCGTGAGTTGAATGTGAGGTGGCAGGGAGACCGTCTTCAGCATTGTTCTACACCCAAATATCTTGGTGTCATACTGGACCGCACACTGACATTTAAGGCGCATTGTATTGCGACAAGAGGTAAAGTCTCAGCGAGGAATAATATCATCAGGAAGCTAACCAGCAGATGCTGGGGTGCTATCCCTAATGTCCTCAGAACCTCAGCTTTAGCGCTCAGTGTGTTGGCTGCGGAGTACGGAACCAGTATGGAATGCATCGTCACATGCAATAAAGGTTGACATTGCAGTCAATGACATGGCTCGGATTGTAACTGGGTGTTTGAAACCAACCCCAGTATACAAACTCTATCCTAACATAGGGATTGCACCTCCATCAATCCGACGTGATGTCGCTGCCGACGCAGAAAGGACTAAGTAAGAGACAGACCCTCGTCACCCATTACACGGCCACCAACCTGCAGAGGGACGGCTTCGGTCCAGAACAAGTTTTTTATCACGGACACGAGTCCTGGTTGGATCACTCTCAAGCAATCTGGTGGCAAGGTGGGAGGCCACGTTGACTAACCCTCCCAAACCAGCCAGGGAGGAACTGGCTCCTGGTGGAGGCCTGCATTACACGGTGTGGAAGACCCTAAATGGAATCAGGGTCGAGGTACCAAAATGCAAGACAAACATGCAGAAATGTGGTCTCTTACCAGACGAAGAAAACATCTTGTGTGCGTGTGGTTCTGTTCAGGATCCTGGCCATCTGCTGATCTGTCCACGCCTAGACCAGTCTTGCACATTAAATGATATTTTACAAGCGAATGACAAAGCCATATCGGTAGCTAATTTTTGGAAAAGCGAAGTCTGATTTCCGGACACAGAAAGTAAGTAAGTATCTTTATGAAATTTTAAATTAGGAGACCATGTAATCCTTGTAACATCGAAATGGTGTACTTTTACAAAGATTCGCTTACCCTATAATTTGTTTGACATCATTATAATAGGTATTTGTTTATTCCAGTTACCAACTACTACAGCTGAATGGATAGAAATACTGTAGCTTCCGACTTCGAAGACATGTGGCAGTTTCCTCATCGCTTTGGTTCGTTTGATGGAAAGCATTTAAGGATTGTTCCTCCAGCCAGTATGTGGTTACTATTACTTCAACTACAAGAAAACTCATAGCATCGTCCTCGTGACTATAGCTAACGCAAATTACGAGTTCATCTATTGTGATGGAGGAGTGATTAATAATTCAATTTTTACCAAAAAACTTGTTGAAAAAAAAAAACTGAACATTCCAGAACCTGAACCAATAACCAATTTGACTTGTACACTAAACTATGTTTTGTAGGTGATGAGGCATTTGCAATGCGTCCAGATTTATTAAAACTGTACACACTAGGGGGTCACTTACAGATGAAAGAAGAATATATACAATTATCGCTTATCCTGAGCACACTGAATTATTGAGAACACATTTGGAATTTTGGCATCTCGGTTTCGAGTACCACATAGGCTACTGCAAACTGCAATTAATATGGATGTTGAAAACATTGAATGCGTCATTTCTAGGCTGTGCTTTATATAATCTTTTGCGCAAAAGGTCACTTAACTACCTACTCGCCTCCTGAGGCTTTTGATCGTGAAAATATTGAGGACAGCACCATAATGAAAGGTGAAAGATGTAATCCAGATAAGATGCACCACACAACGACATTCAGGAGGAACAATTTTGAAATCAGCCAAAATAGTTCAAAACAATTTCAGTGATTATTTCAACAATGAGGGATCAGTGCCTTGGCAGGATAAATTAGCATAGAACTTGTAATGGTTTTGCAACAGTCAACCCTTTTAGTGCAGTAAAAAGAAATGTATGTATTGCCATATTAATTTTGTAGTACCGATGCTTGCCACGAGTTACGATAACGCTACCGAAGCTTTTATTTTAAAAAACCGATAGGCCTAATTCTTATACCTTATTAGTGCACCCTCGAAAGATTAAAATTTTTTTATAAATCTGGGAAACAACTCCCTGATTCTGAAAATAATAGTTTTATTCCGCGCAAAACGTCCAAATGCCACAGTTATTTTTCCATTTTCCGATGATTTTCCAGTTGTAAGTTATCTCCGTTAATATTCATCGGAACTTGAAACTTCTTGCAAATTCTTGTTCCGGCTTGCTCTACCGGTTAAGTTTTTTCAGTACCCACATGGCCTATTTCCGCAAAAATGTAGTTTTTTTTGTTTTTCAGATTTTTTTGGTATTTCCAACATTTTGCTCCGAGATAAATAACATTTTCAGTATCAGGGCGTTACATTTAATTCCTACATTTTGAAAAAAGAAAATTTCATTTTCCGAGGGTACGCTGATAAGGTAAGAATTAGGCTACCAAAAATTCAAATACAATTGATTTATCAACTTATAATTTTGTTAATCTTAATAATTTCCATTTTATAAATTATAAAAAAGTATTGTAAATAATTTTGTTTTTAAATTAATAAATAGGCCTAAGTTATAAACCAATACAATTCAAATACAATTTATTTATAAACTTGTAATTTTTTTCAATATTAATAATTTAATTTTTTTTAAATTAATTTTTTAAGATATAAATCCCCCAAAAAAGAAACACATTTCTTTTACTTTGAACTGCAAAACATCCTTTAAAAAAATGCTTGGCCTAAAACTCTAACTTAAAGGGTTGAACGTGGTAGCAGCATTTTGTTTTTGCATTACAGTAGGCCAATTAATTATCCATATTCTTATGATAGTTATAAAATATTTTGGATTTTAATGTTATAACTTATATTTGGGTAGACTTCCGTATCTGTTGTCAAAAACAACAGAATGAAAAATATCGATCTATCGATTATTTCGTTCGATGGTAGGCTATCGTTTGGATTTAACTCACCTGCACCTCAATCATAGTTTCTTCATCAGATTCATCGATTGTGCTTGTGCTTGTGGACTTCCTTGATGGTTCAATATAATTCAAAAAATGAAGAAGTTCAAAATACCATAATTTAGGTTTGTATACTTCATCAGCACCTGCTCCAGATTTGAGGGATCTGTTAATTTTCCCCACTTCCTTTTTGTACACTGTTCTAAACGAGTTAATTTTTTTTACAACAATTGCCCTGTCTGCAGCAGGGTCGACTTCTCTATATTTTTTGATCAATTCTACATAGGCCAGGTCTTTCTTGTTCCTGTCAGAATAGTCTTTATGTTTGATTTGCCATAAACAAGGGAAACTCTTGTATAGTTCAATGAATTCTATGAAAAAGTCACGAGAGGCTTGGCGTATGTCTGACATAGTGACAAATAAATGTTTTAACTGACACACAACACAAAACGAAAACAGTTAAGCTAAAACTCCTCTACACAGTCAAAATATACAGCGGTTAAACAACAGTACTACACAGTACAGTACATAGCAATGGACTTATTCGCCGTTACACGCAACGTTTTGTCGCTACGATCTACAAAATTGGTATGGAGACTGGAGACTGGAGATTTCCAATTTCCACCAACCTTCCAACTCCAACCTCACTCCAACTCCAACAAAACGTAACGACGACCGGTTTACACGTTACGTCTTTTTTTAGTAGTATGTTTTCTGTGGTCTTGCATGCAACGTTTTGTCGTTGCAGACAAATCGTTACGTTTTATTGTAGCGTGTAAGCCGGGCTATGAACCTCTTACCTTAGGTACCTCTGAGCTTTCTATTGTTGATACTGTTACTGTACTGCAGTTTTTAAGCGGTTAAAGAAGAGCCGACAGCTGCAATGGTCGCAATACTTTAATATTTTTGATCTCCTATCTGGGGATTATAGCTATATCAAAACAAACTCTTCAAAATTCAAGTGATTAAAAAAAATTCTAAGAATAGCGGTGAATGCTCCCTATGGTTTGTTAGAAACAGGCATATACATGAAGAGGGGTGGAGTCTATCTCAGCCTTACAAAAAACCACCTCCAAATTTCTGAAGTCCTTAGACAATGTCCCTGGTGTACAAGCTTTTCATCTTGGCGAAGCAACTGAGAACATGAGGCTACGTCGAAGGCTTCCTCAAGATCTATTGGATGAATGAAACCTAAAGAAGATTAAATATTTGTATCTAAATTCATTATGTTACAGGGTGTCTCAGGTCTGGTCGAACCCACGATGTTCATTCTTATTGTTATTTTCTTTTAGCGAATTTCCCATATAGGGAATAAGCTATTACCGTAGGTCTCATGGTGTAGGACCTAGACCCGGGACCAATTTACTTTTTCGTTTTGAGGTCCCCAGAGACCAAAAACACCATCCGTTCAAATTCATATATATATATTTATATATGTGTCCGTTAGCGCGATAACTCAAGCAAAAATGATCCGATTTTTATGAAATTTGGTACAAATGTGTAAACCTACGTTTATTTGAACGAGTTCGCGAACCAGCATAATCGGACCATGGGAACAGGGGTTTATGGGGGGTTTTATAGGGTAAAAATGGGGTTTTCCCATTTTTTACCCTAAAAACAAAAAATTTTGCAATTTCTTTCTCAACCATTTTGTAGAGCTTAAAAAAAGAAATAATTTAGTATATTGAAGCGCTGTTGTATGCCTAACGGTCACGGAGAAAATAAAAAAAAGTGTAATTTAAAATTCCCATGTTATTCTTATGGAGAAAATGAAAACTGTTGTAGTTTACTTGTTTATCTATCTTCTATCTATATATTAATAGGCAAGCATGTTTCTTTAAAACCTTTTTTCTCAGCTCGTGTGCATCGTAGGGAAAATCTACGCATACTGTTAGAAAGCTATTTTCCTGTAGGTGTGCAGAATCCCTTTATAAATTAAAATAGGCTCAAAAATAAGCACAAAAAATGAATTTAAAATTTTGAAAATTTTTACATGGATATTATGAGTTGCCATGCTGGTGACGAAATAACAACGAAATATAAACAGAAAATCAAAACAAATGAAGGAAACTCCAATCACATGTTCTATTCAAAGTGTGAAATGAAAATAAAGAAGTCTGTACATTAAATATTTTTGGTCGAGTTTCGACCACTGGACGACCTCTAGTATATATAAAAGGCAAAGCCCTCACTGACTGACTCACTCACTCACTCACTCATCACTAATTCTCCCACTTCCCATTTACCTAGGAGGCTGAAATTTGGTACACTGATTCTTTAGGCATTAAATAGGAAAACTAAATGGTTTTTATTCTGATCGGACTCTCGGGCTCCGCCCCAGTGGCTCTGGAGTTTCCCATGTTAACCTAATGAGTACTCATATTTAAATGGAATTAATTAATCATAACAGCTGTTTCAATTAAACAAGTTGGTTCTGTTCTATGATGTTTAATAGCATCAAAGTTACAAGGATTACCAACAGAGTGCAGCACTATTATTTTTTTAAATATTTGACAAAAGCTAATTTTAAACCAAAAGGTATAAAAGGCAAAGCCCTCACTGACTGACTCACTCACTCACTCACTCATCACTAATTCTCCCACTTCCCATTTACCTAGGAGGCTGAAATTTGGTACACTGATTCTTTAGGCATTAAATAGGAAAACTAAATGGTTTTTATTCTGATCGGACTCTCGGGCTCCGCCCCAGTGGCTCTGGAGTTTCCCATGTTAACCTAATGAGTACTCATATTTAAATGGAATTAATTAATCATAACAGCTGTTTCAATTAAACAAGTTGGTTCTGTTCTATGATGTTTAATAGCATCAAAGTTACAAGGATTACCAACAGAGTGCAGCACTATTATTTTTTTAAATATTTGACAAAAGCTAATTTTAAACCAAAAGGTGAGTGAGCAAAGCGAACGAACTTCAACCCGGAGGCGAGTTAGCGTAGCGAACGAGCTAACCTGAGGGCAAGTGAGCGCAGCGAACGAGCTCCAACTTAAAGGTGAGTGAGCGTAGCGAATGAACTTCAACCAGGACGTGTGAGCGCAGCAAACGTGCTCCAACCTAAAGGTGAGTGAGCGTAGCGAACGAACTTCAACCAGGACGAACCATGCGAACGAGCTCACATATGAAGTTAAACGGGGCAAAGCCCGCGGGTACAGCTAGTGGATATATATTGATAAAATTTGGCAAATTTATTTATTTCATCCTATACTATTGACATATGGTCAAAAAACACTTTTTACCTTCCCCTTAGCAGCAAACCTAAGCACTTGTTAAATCTAATGTTATTTAAATTGGGAATAAATATGTCTTATTTATGGAAATATTTTAGTAAAAATGTAATCAGACAAGTTGAAATTCGCTTAGTCTGCAGGTTTGCTGCGGCGGGGGTATTTTATTTTGTTAACACTTCTGTGAATAATTTAAAAAATTTTTTTTTTTAATTTTAAAAAAGAGGTCGGCGGCCTCTTTTAACCTTGCATTTGCCCGTCCACATAGACTAAGCGCCCGTGCGTGGATCGTTAACAGCAAGGCAAGGAGTGAGCCGGTACAGTACAAAGGTGAACTGTACTGATAAAATTTTATCGGTAGTGACCAGGATCCGAACCCACGACATCGCTGCCTTGGGCCCGAAGTCCGCGACGCTACCGACTGAGCCACCGACTCACTAAATGTCATCATTGAACCAGAAATAAATGGTGTAAAAAAATGACTCTACGTTTATGCATCATTATTGTTTTTCTTGGAGTTGGAGAGAATACTGGTATTTGAATATGGATGAATTAATCGCCATTATTAATAAGGTTATTATAATTGTTATAATATGAAATAATTCCCCTTAAATTGTTCAACTAATAAATTTTCTCAAACAAGTTAGGGAATTTTAAATAAAAAGAAAATATTTGATTTATTATTATTATTTTTATAATTATTATAAGCAGGTGTATTATTATTATTATAAAAAGGCTTTTAATCATACATTCAAAGCTATAATGTATAATGTTTTTACGGAACGGCTAAACAGTTTTTTTTTGTTTTTTTTACAACTTTAATTTGGATCGGGTGAGACTTGTGTTATCATATATTTATACCTGGTGTTTTTTAATCACAAATTTTATTTACAATCTAATCATTTTTCGAACATTCAGCAAATACAATAACAATTATTAATAAAACGTTATTTAGTCTATGTCAATTGGCAGATCTAACTTAAAAATATTTCAATGAAAAAATAAATAAGTAAATAAACAGGAGAAAATTAAATTGTTCAAACAAAACGTGAGCTTAGGTCCAAGACATGAACCCTTTTCAGCCTGTATATACTGGTACTGTTGTCCAAAAGGTTTAGAGCCAGGTGATTGGAGTGATTTTCAAGCTTCTTTAGATATTTTGCACTAAATTTGGTTATTTCCTCTTCAACCGTTGGAATTCCGAAACGGCACACGGAAGATTTCTCAGGTGCCGTTTGACGTCACTAACTGCTGGCGTCACTTTGAGGGAACACCAATACCGCAACGATACGGATATGAGTCATCGGCCTTGGTGGTGTAGTGGATAGCGTTGCGGGCTGATATCCGAATGTCTCGAGTTCGAATCCCGCCGGCGGCAATAATTTTTTATCAACAATTTTTTCATATCAGCAAGTTTGGTTGGTTTGGTTAGGTTATGACAGTTTAATTTTATAATAAAAAAATTATAAAATTGAATTTTAGGCAATTATAATTTTATTTTATGAACAAAACTATTTTTTAGATTAGTAAACCTTTATTCGATTTTTCCATTATCAGCACGTTTGGTTAGGTTATGACAGTTTAATTTAATAATAGAAAATTATAAAACTGTCTGTTTCTTCAGACGCAGCAGTTAGTGACGTCAGCAGTTAGTGACGTCAAACGGCACCTGAGAAATCGTCCGTGTGCCCCACCGTTGGAATTCCACTGTCCTTGTGAAGGATATTGTTATTAACATACCACGGGGCTGGGGCTTGCAGGATGAACCTTAAAACTTTTGACTGAAATCGTTGGATGATGTTTATGTTCATGCAGATTTGTTCCCTTCTGACTGAAAGAGTTTGACATTAATGAAACACTCCCTTTGGAAAAGTGTAGTAATTTTTCTCTCATAAACATTACTAATGCATATTTACTGTCCACTTGGGGCTGAATAAAATTATTTGACTTCTTTTTAAAGCGTAGCACGGATAAAAATTGCACAGATTAATATTTACTATGTGTCAATACTAGAGTATCAAAACAAGGGTTGTATCCTTGTTGGGATGCTTGCAATACTTTGAAAATAGTCTAGGCATACTAATTAAACTTATTATATGATATATAATTGTTATTATGATTTATTAAGGATTGTGGTAAAGAGAAACGCCATTATAACAGACTAAAACTCAACTGTAGTAACCCCAGGAACTTTTAAAAAATTACTTTGAATTTCCTGGATTGACCGGGAGAATGGTTTTGCTTCATCTCCAAGAATATGGTCATCCGCTGTCAATGACAGGGCTACAAATATACATGTTTATGTATATCTGTAGCCCTGGTCAGGTGGTCCATTCACAAATCCGTTGAAACGACCCCTTCTCCCTCATTTCAATTCAAGTTTTGGGATGTCAAAATAATTTGTTCAATTTTCAACCACTATAATATCACAAACCTCTGACTTAAGAAACAG